TCGTCTAGCCATCACAATTTGGCCCTTGTCAAAGTCGCTCAAATCCTCACGCTGCCCATTTTTCCTGCTTCTAACACATCAACTTTGAGGACAAAATGTTCCTGAGATATCACATTTACAAGAATGGGACAGACTTACGTACAGAAAGACATCCCAAAATCATTAGGCCTCTGGCTTCACCTATTGCCGGCATGGAGACATAACATAAACATCAGAGGCATTAACAGACATATTAGGTGAAACATCAACAGCTAGTAGCACATTTTTATTCTTTTCCCCAAGCCGGGGAAGAAAATGGACGTCCATTTTACTGAAAAATAAACCTAATATTCCGGAATTTGCCCATCTCTCAACCAAGCCATATAAGGAATAGTGCTAGCCTGGAGCTACAAAATTGACTATGCTCCATGTTCGGGGCACACATTACATGGCTGGCCCTGTGTACATTTATATCCATGACTGAAGTGTATGTGCCCTGCTGCAGCTGTATCCTGCATAATTCATGATGTGTGACTTCTCCACTAGCTGGTGTCTGTCTGTCAGCACTGCGTGTCCCCTGCCCCTCCCCATCCATTCCCCCTGAATGGTAATGACAAGCCACCAAGCGGGCACACAGCCACCAAAAGATCATAACACAAACAGAAAACCCATTAACACACATCCACATAGGTGTACAATTACACAAAGACAGAAAAAACATACACAAAATAATATACACCCCACACACCATTGTACCACAATCCAAAATGAGGAGGAAGGTTGACAATCTGCAAACTCCTCATACGTAAATGTGTGTGTGTATTTTCATAGGTGTACGTGTGTGTATCTGCACTGCTTTGAAGAGCTCCTGTTCGGTGTCTTATGACAGGCCGTCAGTCTGCTGCTGTAGCAGCAGAAGTGGTGGTGTCCCTGGGGAGGCCTCTAAAAGCTCACAGGGTTCTGGGGGTGGGGAGCCCAGACTTAGTGAAAGCTTTTCCATGTTCATCCACCCAGCTCTGCTTCTCCTCCTCCTGCAGCACTGACTCCATCAGCCTCATTCCGCATCCAAATGCAGAGAAAACTCACTAACCCTACCCTCTAACTACCCATCCCTTTCCTTGCATTTCCCATTCCATCGCTGCATCTGTCAGTTTTTCCCAACATCTCTGTATCTTCCTTTCCACTTCACCTCTTCTCACCCCCCTAGTCGTTACTCTCCCTCCTCGAATTTTGCATCTGTCACTCTCCCAGTACATCTCCATCTCTTCTCCCCAAACTATTGCTCTCAGCCCCCTCCTCCTTCCCATCCTCCCACCCCTCCCCCCACCAGTAGAGCAGCATATCCAACAGTACATTAACCTCCATACATCTCTGTGAGCTTCTCCAGTAGACACTTGCCTCACTGGGAGCTCCTGTCACACTGTGAAGAGACAGTAAGAGGGACCCTTCCTTTAACACTGAATGACTGGTGAAGTCTCTAAACAGTGCCAGAGGCTTTAGCCCTGTAGCATGGGGGCTCTGACGGTGGTCCTGGACTATAAAACCACAAGAAAAAATAAAAAGCACATGAGGATGGTAGCTGTCACAATGCTGACTTGGACAAGATTGGGAAGAAGTCAGATTGTGGGAGGGAGGAGAGAGAGATAGACGTGCACACTGAAGCGGCAGCTGTGGTGACAAACATCTTGTCGCCTGAGGCATGCAGAGCGTGCAGGAGACTCAGCGTGCATGTGAGTGCTTGTTTGCGTCCCCAAACCTTGAATTCTAATCAGCCTCAATGATGAGAGAGGAGAGGAGCCTAAAAACAGACTGATCCCTAAGCCACCAATCATTCATCCCCTGATTCCTCTCATGGTGTGATTAAGAAATAGATAACTGTATTCATGGAGAAAATTGTTTGCAAACAGTTGTTTTTCAGTCACATTTAATGGAGAAAAGAAGATCCTAAAGGGCTTGTTCATCCAAATTACAGTAAAACATATTTTCTCACTTACTTCTGGTCGTAACCATGTAGATAGTTCTGGTTTGATTTGCTCATGTTTTTTAAGATATCTTTCCTCCTCAATACATTGGAGGTGAATGGAATTTTACGTGTGATGATTGCAGCATTGAAAAAAAGGAATAGTTCACCATTTTGGGAAAAGCGCTAAAAATCTTATATCTATATTATGACCACCAGGGTACCCAGGCGGTCATAATGTTATGGTTGATCAGTATATATATACATATAGCACTTCAGTCCAGCACAGTGTGGCATGTAACCTCCTAAAAACCTGAACTTATGATAATGTGTTAATTTAGTGAGCGTTGTAGGTGCCTATATGTGTATTTTTTAGCCCCTATAAAATCTATTCTGCATTATCTAGAGTAACAGACACTGATTCTAGAAATTGCTTTTTTTTTTTTTTTTACCTTTCAACACCGATTCCTTTTTTGGAGGCCTAAATCATATTAAATTTACAAAACTAGACTATTTTTGTTTGTTATGCCCTTGAAATGATATTGATTGTAGAGATTTCAAGGATTTCTGTGGGACAGTCACATTGATTTGAGGTAGTGAATAAACATTAACATTTCTGTTGTATGATCTGCCTTGCATGGTGACAGACTACAGTAACAGAAAAGACAATAGTCTATGGATACATAATGGGTGGCATGAAGTTAAATGGATTTCTTCAATGCAGTGAGCACCATGAACAAATTTCCATTCACTGCATTAAATTGGGGTGAAGGCAGGAATCTCGAAAACCTGGACAGAAGAAACTGAAAGTATGTGCATGGCTGGATACCATTACCATTTCATTTTTCTGTATGTTTGTGAATTTAAAATGGAAATAGATTTTTTTTTTAAACAAACGATGAAGCGTTGGATCTGACAGCAATGTAACACAAAGCTGGTGGTCCTAGTGCACGGGTAGGAAAACAATTTCCACAAAAAAGTCAAGGCAAGGGAAAAAAATCATTTCATTTCTATTACCTGTGACATAGTGTTCATTCATCGAGTATTGAGTACTGGTGTGATGGGAAAGCTTGATGAGAAAAGTCTGTGTTTTCATAGTGGTGCGTTCGTCTTCCCCAAATCAAATTTAAATCTAAGTATTTAACTCTACAAAAGAAATGAAATGTTTCTCACAAAACTTTACATTTATTTGTAGATCTCTGTTTTTGACATAATGAGTGAAGAATAGTATCACCTTGGACAAAGCTGCCGTACAAGATTTCTCCTTTGATGGACTATCCTGCGTTTTTTGACGCGCAGGACACACACAAAAGAGAGTAAGGTTAGAGAGAGAGAGACAAAAGGAGAAACGCAGGGATCTAAAACACTATAGAAGGTAATGAAATGTGTGATTGCCTGGACTGTGCCATTACTAAGAGGTCCTCAGAACCTTCTCTGCCGCAAAATAGGGAGGAGGATAAGTCATTATGGTTAGGTGTGTTAACACATTCTCAGTAGCTCTAAGACACACACACGCACACACACATACACTCCCCTTCCTCAGTATCTCCGAGCAGCACCATGAGGAAATTCATTTATTTTAAGATGGGCAGTAAAAAGGACGCCTCGTAAAAAAAGGTCCTTTATGTGCAATCAATACCTAAACCAATGAGCAAGCAGGGAGGCTCAGTTTGCTTCACTCAAACACAAGCGCACACACACACCGAGAGAGCTGTCATGACTTGACTTTCTATTAGCTCGGCCGCTTGTCTCCTGAAGGACGCTCCACAAAGGTTGAGACGGGTTATGAGAAAGGTGTTGCTGCTATAGATTAGACATACAGTGCACCTGGCACAACCGCAGGGATTATAGTCGGTTACCTTAAATCACCAGCACTGCAGGGGGAAAACACACTGAATAGCATCCAAAGAGTCTTATCACAACATTGTGTTTGACATATTTCCATGCATGAGGGCAAGCAGTGATATGATCTTTGCTGTAAACACAGGCTGACTTAATGCTCGGTTAAGCTATCATTCCCAATCGGATATTGTGCATCAGGAGTTTGTGCATTTGTAATTTGGATGTGGCATAGAGCCTATGAGGAGTAATGCCACACTGATTAATATGGGCTGTGATATGGGGTAATTCCCATACTGCTGCAACTGCAGTTCAAATCCTCCACCGGGCCATTGGAAGAGGTACAAGCTCATTATTCACCATGGAGTGCAGACCCACACAGTCAGACACACACACACAAACACACACACACCCACACACACAGTGAGTACAGCAGAGCACAAGCATTGAAAACATCTCAGCATTTACAGATCAGCTGTTTTGTCGGGGTCAAAGCAAAGACAGCTCCACAAAGTAAAAATTATCGCTGCCTTTTTAAACAAGAGCCCAGATATGCCAAGATAACTAAAGCAGTAACTTTGATCTTAAGTACCTTTCCACAGTAATCTCCCCTCCTCTTTCCGTTTGTCCTTTTCCTGTTAGATCTGAAGGAAATAAAACACCCACTCGCCTTACGTCACCTCCTCTTCCTGTATCTCATCCCTCCTTGCACATTCAAGCGAGTCTTCCTTGAGCTATTTTTAAGGAGCGGAATGTAGGAGGGGAACTAAAATAAACTCTTACCTGTCTCGCATCTTTTCCCAGTAAATCCTTGCTGGCAAACGCAGTTGTTAGGTGAGACGCAGGTTCCTCCATTCTGGCACAATCCGTCACACATAGCTAGAGGTAGACCAGAGAAGAAGAGCTATTACTCACTAAGATTAACGAGCATTAACTATGTAATTAGACCAGCAGCAGCATATGTATTTGCATACAGAATAAGAGCTAATTTGGTGATGTGATTCATTACAGACTCTCACGATATTATTTTCTGTGATTAATGGATCTCACCACGGTTAATTCAAAAGTGGTCATTATCCATGGGTAGGCTGTTAGTTAATGTATCCCCCAAAACACAGAGAAGTCATTGAAGTTGACGGAATACAGTGGAAATAAATGATATATATTGATATATACATAAATTTACTTCCCAATAATAAGGAAAGTCCTATACAATAAAAAGAGTACCACACACTGTTTCAAATATTTTTAAAGGGGCACTTCAACAATTTAGTTTTGCACTTTAGTTTGATTTGTTTTAAAAAAGAGAATGGTCAAAACTGAAGCAAAAAAGGCTGAGATATCCTGACCTTTATTGACAGTGTTTAGGTCAAGCTCCAAAAATGCTGGACGCCACATGAAGCAATCAAAAGTATGTTTCATTAAACACTCCCCCTTACCCTCTCAAACGAAAAGCATCAAGGATAACCCTGATGACATCACAATGACATAATCAGGGTTATCTTTAGGGCTGAAACGATTAGTTGTTTAATTGATAATCAGCAACTATTATGATAATCAATTAATTGTTCATGTTCGTACATTACATTACTATTAGCTATAGAAACAGACATGTTTAATGTTTAAAGGGAAAAGATTGTTAAATGATTAAGATGAATTTGAAAATTAAGTCATTTCATATTATGACCATTTGATTTTAGCAAAATGTTACTTATTTCTGATAACTTCTGATAACTTGAGCTGTGTTCTTCTTTTCAATGTAAGTTCATGTCTGAAAAATATTTCACCAGTGCAACAGTATTTTTGGTGTGAATCCACTTGGGCTGGCCACTTTTATGTGCATAACTCACATAGTAGTGCTTACCTTTGCAGACTGTCCCATTGCCAGTGTAGCCCGGCTTACAGGAGCAGCTGTGGCCTCCAACCATATTAAAGCACAGGGCATTCTCATCGCAGTTGTGGAGCCCGCTGAGGCACTCATCATGCTCTGAAGACAAGAAAACACAACAGACGTCATATATACATTTGTATTGTATCTTTTCTTTTTTAAACAAGAAAAAGCAGCTGTGACAGTGCAGACAATTGTCATCCTCACATCTGCAAATCACTACTACTAAAAAACACTTGATTACAGAAAACGGAATGTTTATTTTCCTTGTAAATGTGAGGAATGATGAAAATCAGCTGGTAATTTGTTTCACTTTCCATTAAGAAAAAGGGATTTGAGAGTCTTGGATTAAATGACTTGATAGTTAGACAGCTGTGAGTCTAGTAATGAGACATCATTGATAAACAGCCGGCTGGAGAACAAGCCATTTCTCTATCTCCTATCATGATCTGTCATAAGAAATTGTTTCAGACGTTTTGCTGCAATTTGTTGTTCTTCCTTGGCACAATATGAGGAACGATGCTCAATGATGAATCTGAGTTTTATAACTACTGAAAATAAACTGCATTTGCAAATACTGTACATGTATACTGATGTACTGTATTGTGATGTATTTAGCACGTATGAGCCATTGGCTGCTAGTTTGAGTGTTATAAATTGGCGCAATTGGTCTTTAAGTACCAAGAGAAATGTTTTTTGTAAGTTTCAGACGAGCATTAAGAAAATGTCCCTTAAGAACCAGGACTCCAAAGCTCTCATTGCTGCTGCCATGGAGTTAGTGATATGTTATGAATACCCCACTGACAAGCTTGACTAATGGCTACAGCCCATGACAACATACTGTATCCAATTGGCGAAGAAATCTCTTCCCCTCTATCTGGAGGGGGCACTGAGGTGGCAAAATAAAATGTAATAAAGGCCTGTAGAATAATCTGCTATACAAATACTACTGTACAAACAGTCCAAGTAATATAATAATAAATGTAAAAATAATTTAGAATATGTTAAAGGCACTATAAAGTCAGATATTATCTACTGTAAGCCCCTATAGATGCACAGACGGATTATAATACAGGGTGTGGAATTATTTATTTTAACCATACAATATGCGTTAATGTGTCTCAATGTGTATCTCTAACACACAAACTGAACAACTACTTGTTTAGTGTCTTTATGTTGTAACTATAATAATAACATCATGGTGGGTGCATAATGCAACCCAAATAATGGAGAGTAGAGCATTAAGAATACAGGTTGCTAATGGTGGATGAAACATAATTTTTAAAGTGGTCTTTTTTTTATCACAATACAACCTTCATTTGGTGTTACAATTATAAGAAACAAAGAAAGAAAGAGTCATCATATCTATCATAGAAGGGAACAAAATGAAAAGGCCTCTCCAGAAATTAAATGCTATAAATGAGACAATTTGAAGCTGCAGGGGGAGTTTTCTTATTTTTTATGATCAGATCAGATCAGTGTTTCAACTTTTATTGTCAAGAAGCTGTGAGCTCAGATAAATGTGATTTTATTTCTGTCAAGGCTGCTGGATCTGAACACTTATTACTTATTTGAAATAACGTTATGTTTAGCTATCTTAAAGGTGCACGACATCAGTATTTTATTGCCTGCATTACACCCAACACCACAGCTAAATCTTTTTAAATGACTCTCCATTTTTAGTCTGTTACCACCAGCCGGACCGACTCCACTGCTGTGCACTGAACTTGCAAACAAACCTTTTGCACTAAAGGTTCATGTTCATCACCTTTAAACTAAGTCCGTCACACTGTGCTGACTTATTGGGCCGATGTTTTTATTTCCAATTCCTGCTGCAACCAAGACACTTTAACTGCAAAATAAGTTGAACATCTCATCTGATGCTGGAATTAGACTTAAACTAGACAGTTAAAGAATTGTAGATCATTTAAGCCCCCTCTCCCCTGTTGTATGAAGAAGCATTTTACTGCGTGCCCTTCGTCTGCCCCTGAACACAAAGGCAGATCTTTATCTCTCTGAGACACCCAAAGGAGGAATACGCTTCTATTGTATTTTGGAGATTCACATAAATATTGCTCTCTGATAAGTACTTGCTTACCGAGCACCACTTCAGCTGTAGAGCACAAAACTTTATGGACTTGTTTTGACCTTCTGAAGTATTATTTTCCTTATTTAACAACTCTGTATGCCGTCATGATAGAAGGATGCACATCAAAAAAACAATCTGTCTTTTGGCAAGAGAGCTCTCTCTTCAGTGTTTGTAAAACATTTAGCCATTTTTCCTTTTGTATTATCGTGCGTTTATAGTGCAGAGAAAACTTTCAAAGTAGTCGACTAAAACTCTTTGAAAGGCTGGAAAACACAAACGCGAAGACTGCAGTGCTAATCTGGGGGATAGTTTGTTTCTAGATATACAAGTGAACTCCAGGCCACACTGTGCCTGGCAGGGGACAGAAATAAATTAATTTCTCTCAGCTGTTTCCTCTCACACATTCTGTTCAGACATTAAGCAGATCTCAGAAGCCTTACTCAACCACAGAGATAGAATATTTTTGCGTGTGATTCATCCAAATGGGCATTTTCCCACAACTTGGGCTTTTTAAATGCATGCAATCATGAAAGACAGTGAGGTTTGAGGACTGAAAGATGGCACCTGATGAGTGAGAGGATCAGAAATGTGAATGCTTGTTGCAGGAGACTTGAGCCGCATCATCCATTTCCCTGCCATCATCCAATCCATTATATCTCCTGAACAGACCGTGGGCTCATCCAAATTGAAAGTGACATTGTGATGAGCTCCTCCATCGACGGTATGATGTATGTGTGCATGTGTGTTCGAGATGGATTGAAGGGCACTTAGGAGGGCCGGATGCTCTGCTCTGCTCTTGTTGCTACATCACACACACACACACATATACACACACACACACACACACACGCCTGCTG